CTTCTACCGTGTTAGGCGAACATAACCTCCTGGTACTGTCCTACAGTATCCTTACTAATCCCCGCTTATAGCTTATAGGGCAGAAGCTGTTGTAGTGAAGATATTGTCCAGTCCAGGTTTCTTTTCTGTAGATGAACTTTTCAACCGTTCCATCGTTTCTTCTTTTTTGATGTTAGGTGCAAACTTTTCGATCAATTTTCAAGATTTTTGACTTCTTAGTCTATTTTAAACACAGTCAATATCTACTACTATGATGCACACATAAAACATCTATCTTTTCATTTGTTAAGTTCATGTTTAGAAGGTTAGCTGGAGAAAAGCTATTCGATTCACCATCACATCTTTTGGTTAAAAAAGGTGCCGTTTGAAACAGTGAAAACCAGGGAGTACTAGACACCTGTTCCATCTTAGTTTCGGGAATGATTGGCGGTATGCACACACTGAGGTTCGAACCTCAGAATGTTACGATTACAAGGCAAGCTGGTATACCATTCATCCACCGCGACTCGGTTCAAAGGTTCACGAATTCTAACTCCTACCAATTCGTGATTTAACACGACCACCAACCAATCCGTGGTCAAACTCGAAAAAACAAATCTAATCCTTTCAAATCAACTCTTGAAAAAATGTCAAGGTTGAATATCTGCTATTATTTAACACGATTGCCTACACAGTGTTTAAGTCTTGTTAATAGCTGATTCATTCGAATGCATCAGTTTTTCACTCAAAAGTTCAGTCGTACAGTTGTGCTCATTGTAGAACATCAGTGATGAACTGGGGGTTAAACGGTCTTCCTAAAGTAAATTACTTGTATTTAGCCAGCATATAATGCTAATTGGAATGGGCAGTTTTTAATTACTGAGGCAGAGAAACACAAAATATGAATCAAGGTTGTTTGATTCATTTGAGATTTTTTATTAATATACTTCATAGCTATATTTTTCTTTAATCTTTGCATTGTCATCAGATTTGTATAACAGTTGATTTAGTACTAGTCAACTTTTGATATTTCTGTATCTGAACATATACATATTAGTCAGTTTAAATTCATTATTACTTTAAAAAGACTAACTAGCACCATGATTAGTTTGCCAGTAAGATCAGGGTGATCTGATAACTAGAAATTAACTTTCATTTTGAAACTTAAATGGTCAACAGTTTACTTAAATCCGATGCACAGATTGTTGTGACTGGAGTTGAGAAGTAAAGAGATACGTTCTAGAATGATTCAACTCGTCTATATTATGGATTAAGATGCCGGAAGTATGGAGATTACCAATGAGTTGAGAAAACGTCACTTAATATTAAAGTCACTTTATTACAGTTAGCATAACAAGAACATCAATATTGACAGTTCCCAACTACTTAAATCCTTCAGCACGATTATTGGTTATTTCGCGATATTTCAGGGTCCCACAATGCACACATTGATGATTATTGGAATTCCCCTGATTAAGATATGATTAACACTTCAGACAGATGATCGTAAACCATTCTGTTGTAATTATTTGTAATAGTAGTAATTGTATTTCGAGATGACCGAATTACAAGAATTCAACCAAAACAAAGAGAGGGATGAATTTAGGAATTTGTATTTGGCGGAGTTCTAATTCAATTCATATAAGAAATAAATTAACAAGCAACAGTAAGTATTTAAACAATACAGAGATAGAAATAGTCAATCACCACATCCGCCACACGTCGAATATCTCCTCGCGTATTTATGATGATGTCTCGGTTTGCTTGCAAGTATCCGCGACCTTCTAACTGATTCTGGGATATTATTTTCATCAGTATCATCTGGACTTATTTCTGAATTATCTACAAAATCAGGATTAGTAGCGAAATCACTAAAATTATATTCGGAACGATCTACTCTATTTATTTTCACTTGATCCAGGTGTCTGTTATGAACTGAATTATCTTCGATGTCTAATATCTTGACCATTCGATTTCCCACTTTTTGTAGTATGATTCCAGCAGAAGATCTATAGTCATTCCCTCTGTAATACTGTACATTAGAAGTCGTGGACATCAGATGCTTTCTGAGAATTCGAGATTTGAATAGTTTTGTAGGACTTTCATGGGTACTTGTATGCTCTGAATTCAACAGACTCAGTCTATGCATATGCAGCAATTCCTCCGTTTTAATCAGTTGCTCTCTCGTCTCAGTCAGCTGTTGACGAATGGACAACAAGCCAGCTTCCATTTCACTCACTTTTTTCCGAAACACTCCACACTGATATTCTAAATCCTTTTGCACACATGACGCTGACTCAACAAAACATTCAAGTTCACGGGTCCTTTCACTACTTCGCTTATTCTCAGATTCCAGCTCAACGATTTGAGTTACCAGTCTGCAGATTTCTTTCTCCTTCATTAAACAGGAATTCTCAGCAACTAAAAGTTTAACTGTCAAATTTTTATTCTTCGCCTGTAAACAACCAACCAATTCACTGTTACTTTTCAAGCTTTCTTCAAGCTCTAACAAATTTTTTCGTGTTTTAGACAGATCGCATCGTAACTCGGCTACCTCATTTTTGAAAACACGTGATACAGTTGACGCTTGAGTTGCTGAACTTGTAGTGGGGGTTTTCATTGGATGAGATTGAGTATTTTGAAAATTTGAAAGACACATTGACTCCATTTTACCAAACAGATTGGGAGAATCATAAGAATCCTGAGTAACATAAGTATTCGAAATTCTGCAGACAGTCTTGATGTGTCCAACTTTACCACATTTATGACACTTAGCACCCCGAAAACGGCAAGTGCTTCGTAAATGAATCTTTCCACAAGAAAAACACGGTCTAATGTTTTCGCTCTCTCGCTGCATTCTATTACGTGTGGATGACAATTAGGATTTCTTTTATGAACACTTTTATTATCGACTTTGGACAGCATGACATCAGATGCTGACGTAGTGGGAGCTTGATATTCACTGTTGACATCTTCATATATAATACATAGATCCTTAGCAGTTTGAAAGGTACAAGAAGGAATCTGAATTAACTCTTTCTCTAACTTGGGAATATTGATTCCATGAATTAGACGATCACGTAGTTGAGTATGCAGCTGATCTCCAAAGTTGCACTTTGAAGCTTGTATCTGAAGTTGAAGAATGAAGTCTCCAGTCTTCCGGTTGGGAGTACGAACCAGTTTGTTGAATTAAGCCCTCTCTCGTGTCTCAAAAGTAGTTATATGGAAGTGATCTATTAGAAGTTCACGGAGCTTATCATATGGCAGATAAATTGGTTCATCAGGAAACGACAGAGTCTTCACAAGGCTGTACGCATCTAGCCCAATAGCAGTAATGAAATGAGCTGAAATTTTGTCATCCCGAACATTCTTTGACATGCACCATGCGTCGAAGCATTCAAGATAGTCAGCGATTTCCCGCGGTGAACCATTTATAGGAAATTTTCCAAGGTTATTTAGTTCCATCGCGACGCCAATTTGTTGTAATTATTTGTAATAGTAGTAATTGTATTTCGAGATGACCGAATTACAAGAATTCAACCAAAACAAAGAGAGGGATGAATTTAGGAATTTGTATTTGGCGGAGTTCTAATTATCAATTCATATAAGAAATAAATTAACAAGCAACAGTAAGTATTTAAACAATACAGAGATAGAATTTGTCAATCACAACAGAAACCTTGGACTAATATCTCGTGCTAACTGTGCGTCGGTGGCACAGTGGTTAGGACTCTCGACGACCATGCACAAGGTCCGGGGTTCGAGCCCACACCGGCGCACACCAGATATCTATGGTCGGCCTGCGAAATTCGGGCTACCGATATCCACGCTGAAAATTCCATACTTGTACCAAAAATACAGTGTGGAATCAAGCTGTTAACAAAAATTAAAATAAAATAAAATAAAATAGTTGGCAAGGCGTGTTTTCAGCCTTGGAAGGAACCGGTGCTTTCTGAAGGATTGAAACTTTCATCGTGTTGTGTTGCAATGGGGTCCACTTAGCCCAGTGTCACCCTTTATAATACGGGCGATGGGTGATTTGAATTCTATTCTCTCAGTTGTCAATATGCTTCAATCCTTATTAAATGGCTTTGGATATATTACCTACAACCACTCGGCAGCCGATCATTGTGACTAGTAACAGTAAGTACTTTGGTATGGTGGCTACATTTCAAGCTTGAGTAGTGACATTTACTCTACACTAAGGTGTAGGTAACATAACACTGATTACATCCCATAGACTAAACGGTGTAAATTCTTGACCACTTCACAAGGAAAGAAGATGAATAGAAATACAAACTACCGAAATAATTAAATTATACGATATAAAAAGCTGTCTCACTGTACCAGCTGAGTAAATTTATTACTTAAGCTTAAATTAACCCATATAACTGTTTTAATTTGAAATATTGATAGATTGCTAAGCCAATAATATGCCCTCTGTCTCGAATCACGATCACATCCATGCTTCTCTCACTGTAAGAATGTCTTGAAAACTAGTTTTAGTTAAATCTAATTTTGTGAGACAACTAAACAAAAACAGACAGCTAAAGTACAATAACATCATGACAGCCATCGTTTTCCTCAAACACATACTACTTCACCATTGTCTATTGTCATATGAGTCATCAAATAAAATTTAAATAGAGGCTGATATTAAAAAGCACTTGTATTGATTGTATTTATTCATACTATAACTACTGTCCTGTGTATGTATATTAACCAATTAGATGTTCTGTATGGAGTGCAGTAATTGGTTAGTTAGGTTAGGGTGAAACTATTTGTAGTTTAAAAGCTTGAAGATAGTCTCTTCTAGGACGAAATAACATCAAAGAGCGTGTTACACACACACACACACACTCAAGAGGATATGCATTCCTTCAGTTTTTCTTTGATCATCTGATAGACAAGATGTACTCTTACTATAAGACTCTTGTAGGCTGCAACATTCATTGGCTAGAGGTCACATCTTCAAGTCGCCGTTTTTATTAACACAAACTGGCTATAATGTCAATTTTGAAATGCTAGATTTAGATCTTTATTGGAGCATAGTCGACAATATGGATATCACAGGCTACAGCGATACTCATACTTCAAAGCATGGTTTTGATAGAATGGAAGTCATAGGAACACAAATGGGTATGGTGTCTACGATGGATACTAACAGTGCTTCGAGTAATGCTGAAAGTTGTGATTCTGCTGGAAAAATATTTAGCGTTAAACAAGAAACCAATAAAGCATATCATCTAATGACCACAGATATTGCATCAAAACAAAATGTACAAAGCATAGTGGTTAAATCCAATGAGGAACAATCCAATTTAATCAAAGTTCGTGTGGGTTTCGACATTACACGTAAAGGTACGTGAAATGGTGTTAAGATTTATAAAAGAAAATAAACATTTTTTTCACGAGATATAACTGATCACAAGGGATAATCCTAACTGACGAAGTCTAAGTATTCCACCTAAGATATTTATTGGTCTAATTTGTTACTAAGATGTTTTTTTCTATTGATGTTAGTATTTCTTTTTTTAAATGAAGTTACTTAGACTTATTTTCCCTATTGTATAAGAGAATATTTAGTTTTAAAAATCACTGCTAAATGAACCACATTTTGGGAAACTGTTAGGCAGATGTCTACATTTTGTTCCTGGTTTTGTTCTGTTTGATAAATCATACTGGTTTGGCTCTTTGTTGTGTGCATACATCTTTAAGCAACTTAAATGCGGATAGCGCTCTAATCAGCTTTTAAAATCAGTTTCCATTCATTACTAAGCAGAATATGTAGACCGAGTTACTCAGGAGTATTACCTAATATGATTATGTTGTATCGCGAGATAGCCAGAATGTATTTTGGATTGTTTAACCCTATCGTAACCTGTGTGTAACAACCATTTTGCTTAAATATCTGGCTTCCAGAAGAAGACATTAGGAGTACATCCAAATGGATTTATTTTGTTATTTGTATGCTCTGAGATGAATTTCACTGTTTATTCATATGAGTCCAGTAGATCTGATTTTATACATCATTGTTGACAAATGCTTAATGTTGGATAGTGCCCAGCCTGAAGAACAATTTTGTGACTGTGTCATTCTGTATTTAAACTAACATAAGGTACCTTTTTATCAATATGCTTCTTTCCCGCTATTAAATAATTCTACGTCCTTAATGTCAACCACTCGCAAACTTATCTATTTCAGGCGATAAATATAATGCCACGTCAATGAAAGCTAGCTGAAATGATGATAAAAATTTTTGTCAGTAAACATATCTCAAATATGTTTTTTTTTGACGGATTAATATTTTATCATTGGTTTGTAGAGAAGCTTTCTTGGCTAGCATGATGATTACTAAAACTAGAGTCCTAGCCCTTATTAGAACGTTTTACTATTTCTATTATTATTCATTCTTTGAGTTCCATGTGAAACATAAAACTTCAGCAGAACATTTCCATTCCACGTTATTCCTGGTAGTCCATGGGCTTTCATTCCCCTGTAACATGATCTTCATGTCACACTGAGACGCCTGACCTGTTGCTTCCCTTTTGTGGTTACACTCGACGGCCTGTCGTGTGATTTCACGCAACAGTCTGTTCACCCGTATGTCCAATTCATCTTCATTTCGAACTGCATATTTTTTTGGGTAACATGGTGTTGACTGGTTAGTTACCTGCCAAAGTTTCCTGTTGCTTGTTCTTTCTAGCCAGCCATTTGATTTTTAGCATAGAACGTAGGTATCTGTTGATAAACGTCTGCAGTAGCCTGTTGGAAACTCTTTTGATGAATTGCGTGCCATATATTAACACTGACTAACTTGGTGTTAATAATGAGAATTCAGATCTTGTTCCTTGTGCTGAGGGCTGTCAATCTGCACACAGTTTTCAGAGTAATGAATACCTATGTTGCTCTCCTGGCTTTAACATCCTCATCCATGCAGCTTGTATTAATACATTTGAATAAAAATGAATTATGCGTTAATATCAGTTTCAGTGTACTACTCACAAAGCATCGTTTTTCCCAAGACAGATTTCTGTGAGTTTTAAAAAAGGAATCCATAATCACTTAACGATGAAGACAAATGACTGTAAGAAGATGACTGTTTTGTGTTGCAGGCTGCCGCTAAATGGAAAGGTTCTGTTTAATTATAACTATATAGAATTTAGGAAAAACATTGCTGAAGAACATTAAGAAAAAGTTGATAAGTATTTATTCGTCTACTAAATTGTAATCATGGCTGTCAGTTCTGGTGAAAACTGATTTCAAATACCATTACCTAACATCTGATGGAATCCAGAGGAGTAGCGTTCTGTATAGAACATTAAGCGGTTGCGCTATGTCGTGAATTGGCAGGAGTTAGAATTCAAGGCCCATTGGATCGGGTCCCAGTGGCTTAATAGTATACGAGCTCGCCTTGTAACCGGAAGGTCCTGAGTTCGAACAGTAGTGGTGGGTACGTACTGCTGAAGAGTCCCAAACTAGTCTAACGAAACAGCTGTCCAGTACTCTCAGGTTTTACAATGGTTCTCTAACTAATGTCAGCTCATGATGAAATCCTGAAACCAATCAAATCCCTACAAACCAACACTTGAATAGTTTTCATATATTATCAACAAAATGAAATAAAATCTTGATTACGCCTTCCTCTGATTTCTCTTTACTTTTCCATTATTGAATCGATTCTTTCTTTGTATGTCTTCACCATGTATTCATTGTTGTTTGTGCGATGGTCTTTTGTTCTTTATGATGTTATGAGGTTTTTGAAGTTTCATAAAGTTTACTTAAATAATTATTTTAATCAGTCTCAAAGTAGTTTTTATCACAAATCAAGATTAAAACATATAACTTTGAAAGCTAGTTATCATTAGATAGCTGTTTTGTCTGATGCTCAGTACCATTCAACAGTTAAGTACACGCAACTCTAGGCCATCTGTGATTTTTTTTTAGTGAGGCTGTTATTATTTAACTGGTAAGGCCTCACATGTTTGCAGATTGGCGTTTTTTAGTATAACATAATCGTTGTCCAACACCATTCCAGTTAACCTGCCTTATTTTATAAGACGTCAATTTTCATTTGTCAGTGTCAAGGTCAGTCTTGGATATCTAGTTTCCCTCGATTTTACTGAAATCCTGATAGCTGTTGGTGAGATATCGTTTATAGAAATATAAGCACACTTTAGTTGTGTATGCTACATTCTGAGAAATAAAAATTAGTATTCGTTCAGTTTCATTGAATGGAATTTTCAACAATAATAGTGTGATTTTTGTTGTAATTAAGCATTAATTTCTTCCAGGTGAAAGAAGCTTAGTGATTGATGGATATAAATTTACTAAATCAAGAGATGGCACAGGTGATCGTGTGTTTTGGCGATGTTCTCGACGGGAGTGTAAAGCTACAGCTGTTACCGTTTCCAATAAAGTAGAACATGTACGATCAATTCATTGTCATTCACCACCAGTTGCAGCAGAATTTTTTTCCGAGGATTCTTCTCGATTTGAACAAGAAGTACGCTTTAATAATGTAGTCTACACTCAACGGTCTCGTATTCGTAGACGCAGTCAACCGAATCCTTCTACTAAATTATCGAAACAATTAGTGATGAAACAGTTTTGTCTGGACAAGAAAAAAACATCAACAGGTTCTACTACATGTTCTGTCACATCAGAAATTCCTTGTGAAACTTATTCTTCAGATTTTTTAAATGTGGACTGTTCAAATAACATTTTATCACCTGCAAAGAAACGACATCGTTCCGATCAAATTACATCTGACTACATAACTTTACAAACAATGTCTGCTTTATTTAATAAGTGGGCTGATTCAAAACAAATGGCAAACACGAATAATGATAATATAGAAGTGAGTTATTCCCTGACTAGATTCATTTTATGGTTTAAATATCAATATTTATTTAACGAAAATCATCTTAGCACTGAATGAATCGTCGATCATTGTAGAACTAGTGAAATATACCTTGTAGTGTTAAAACCTAATACAAGCACATGTAGATCCTGAACTGTCATTCATTTCAAGTTAATATACCGTATATTTTTATACGACATCATCTACTTTCTATGAAAAGTGATTTTAGTCTAACATACAGATAGCAGATTAAATATTACATGAGTCAGTTATCATTTTGTAAGTCACCACTTGCAAGTTATGGAGGTTTCAGCTTGTATATCCTTAGACGTCATACTCCTGATGGTATTTGGTTTGGTCTGTAAATGCATAAATGTAAGAGACTTCTACTATCTGTAAATTCATGAAGTGAAACAAACGGAACTTGAAAATAGTTCTAACAGAGAAACAAGATTCATATGTAAAAGGACAATAGAAAAATTAACGAAAAAGATAAATAGAGATATGACATATGGAAAATCACCTACTTTATTTTACACAACTGAAACTATAATAATGTGCGTCGGTGGCATAGCCGTTAGGATGCTCATCGACCATGCACATGGTCCGGGGTTCGATCCCCGGCCACCGTCGCACTCCTTCACCTCGCTAAGCCAGAAATAATCCTGGTAAAGGGGAAAGGTTGGGCATAAGGCTAGCAACCCCATCCTGTAAAATTAACACTGGTACAGAAACTTCAAGCCTCTAGCTTGAAGCGCTATGTTCCACTGGGAAGGTGAAGGAAAGAAAAAAAGAAACTATAATAATACTTCCACTAATTTCTTAATATTAAAGAACAACTATAAAGAATAGATAATAAACTCAACTAATCAGAACATTGACCTTTCAGAATGGATTTTTGTATGGAAACTGGTACAATATGCAAAATAAAAACAACATCCATGAGAAACTGAGAGATAATTTTGCAGCAAAAATGTGTAGTGGGAAATTTAGTTAGAAAAAAAAGCCTAAGTGATCTGAAATGGATTAAAACCTAATCAAAAAATGTCTCATTAGCTGAGTCATCATAGTGCGAGATAACTGACCTAGATGTCAGTGGTTAGCATTTTGACTCTACTCAAATTTTTTTTTCTAATTTGAGTGACTCATTCTTTACATTTGTGTAAGTCAAACAAATTAAAGCTGTTGAATCATAAAGTGTGTAGTAGGCCTTTCAAAAGTACGTTTTCTAATTTATTTAACACAAATAGTAGACACTGTTATGCTGACATAAGTGATTTGTCAAATAAGTCTTATACAATTGTGCTAAATTTATTTACATGGCTTATTTTAGTCATTTTGTTGATTCGTGCATAAGTAGTTAATCAGTTGAATCTAACGCATGACTGATAGACCCTTGATGTAATTGATAGTCATTTGATTTTATGCAACGATAAGAGTACATTTCATCATGTGAGAGTTTGTTAAAGCAGAAATCAGTGTCATTACAAACAGTGTGATGCTTTTCGACTATCTCGTGACTTCCCTGTATATCATACATTTTACTAATAAACAATGAGTGGTCATAAATCATCTCCTATGGACTACTACCTGATTATGTTAGCTTCATCAGTGTGAGAAATGCATGGAATGTTTGTTTCTTTCGTTTAAACTGAAACATTTTAGCAATATATATTTGGACATCTCTACATACTTTGGCTTACGAAACACATTTTATTTATCTGCTGTTCTTTCTAATTAAAACAATACACACTAGAAGAAACTCTCAAATCTTACATGATACGGTTTTCATTGTCCATGAATTTGGCAGTTTCAGATGTTTAAAATGAATTCTTTTCGAATTATTATTATTATTGTTCCCTTGGGTTCCTTGTGGAACATAGGGTTTGAACTGCACGTCTCCACTTGCTTTTGTCTTCTGCTGTACTTTTCACCTGCATCCATGTTAGTCCATACTCTTTCAACTCCTCTTCACACGATCTCCTCCATGTCACCCTTGCACTGACGTCCCACTCGCCGATTCCCGCCTTACGGGTTCCACTCGAGCAATGGCCTGACGCGAGCGCGGTGTCACCCAGCGGCCTCCTCAGCGAGTGTCCAACCCATCTCCACTTTCTCCTGCATATTTGTTGGGCGATTGTTCTTGTTTTGTTTGTTCCCAGTCAGTTTCTTGTTGGTGATTCTTCCCGGCCTGGCCATCTGATCTTCAGTATAGAGCCAGCGAAGACAGTTGTTGGTTCATGAAGGTCTGCAACAGGCTGTTGGAAATATTCTTTGTGACCCGCCCGCAAAGTTTCTGATCCGTATAAAAGAACTGACTGACTTGACGTTTGTATTGAAAATCCGACTGAGTTTTGTTGTTGATGCTCAGTGACGAAGATTTTCAGATGGGTTTCAGGTTGATGAATGTGTTTCTCGCCTTCCCGATTCTCGCTCGATTTGACATCCTCGTCCGTTCCGACTGCCTGTAGTTGAGACAATGCTCCCTAGATAAGTGAGTGAATGAAGTAACCTCTTTCAAATCCCTCCAGTTGATGATGATTGGTGCTGGATGTTGCTACTGTTGTTGTTGTTGTTGGGTGGTTGGTTATTTCCATAACCTCTGTCTTGTCTATGTTCACCTGGAGTCCTGTCTTCGCCGGCTGATTCTTCGACCAGTTTGTCGGTTTTCGCTTATAAGTCTTCGATTGTGTGTGACATCAAACATAAATCATCCACACGCGAAATCCAGGTCTTCTAGGTTCTTCACATCGGTTCAGGATATCCCTGTCTTCTCGTTTCCCACTGTCTGAATTACTTTCCTGAAAATAGATTACAGCGGACTTTCCTTTGGTTAGTTTTCCCAGCACCCATATTTATTATTTCAACCGCAAATAAATATTACCATCGTCCTGATGATTTTTTTGTGACTAACTTAAAAGAAGTATTACTTCACTACTAAAAGGGATTTTCAAAAGAACAGATGAAACTTAACTACATAGAATGTAGGTAAACTACTTCCTAACTTCAAGTTTAACACTTTGAAATTTAAAAGTGAAGGAGAAGGCGTTTGTGATTCAAATTAGATGAATGAGTTTAACAAAACATAAAAATGAGTTGTATATAGTCAGCAACTGTCAACAGCAAGCAAGAAGGGATAAATCATGGAGAAAGCATTCATAAATAAAAGTTGGAACAAACAATCAAGTATTTAAATCAATAACAAGTTTTTTATTCCAGAGATTATCGAAGGTCAAGCAGGTAAACTGCTTTCTCCGCAGTCCTCATGAGCTGTCCATCGAATCACGCCCTGTTCTCACCACTTCTCTCAATCATCCACTCACTCACACAAACACTCACTCACCAGCTGAATCAGTCACACTTTCACTCAATCACTGACTGTTTCACTCGCATAGCACTGAAATGATGATTAATTAATATGAAGTAGAAGTCTCAGTTATGATAGGTTTCGAAATAACACCCTATAGGATATTGGTGAAGCCTTCAGCAAACTGTGAGAATCTACCTAGTCTCAAATTACTTAAGCAAAATTTGCATCCACTGTAATGTGTCACAGTTCAGTTTAGATCATTCGAAAAATCAACATGTTCTTAAATGATATCCCGTAAGTTGTTTCATGTTGTCTCTCAATGGTTTAAATGCACTGCCTTTTAGTAAGTTTATTACGAATTCAGGTATTTCTGATCAGCAGAAATAAAAAGGAACAGTTGTTTTGGGATATTGATGAAATTATTTAAATAAAGCAATCATAAATTCAACTCACGTCTAAAATGTATAAGCTCTATTGTGTGTGTGGTCATGATAACCGATCGTCTGTTCTGTATGTTTTAAGCATAGGACATTCATGCCTTACTTCTCATTATTTGAGAATGGTTAATTCCTCTAAAAATCTTTTATTATGATGAATACAATTAATTATAGATTCGAAATTGTATTTTACTACTTGGTTTGTGTTTTTAGGGAAATCTTTCAAATAACTCAAACAGTCGTTTATCTACTACTAACATGATGATAACTGCCCCTTCTGACGAAAATGATAATAATTCTTTGAACAGCATTCCAGCTACATGTAAGTTGTTAAACTATAGTGTCTTAATTTTTATTTTATTTTGCTTTTATTCTGGCTTAAGGGTAATCATAAGAAAATGAGATTTTCAACATTTGCTTTGTGGGGATTTAATTTTTATCAAACGAGATTTTATCATGATGAATTATCAGTAAGAGGTATATTGAACCTATAAAGTACTGGCTTATCTCTTTCGTCCTAATGTGATACTCTTCAGCAATGCACGCCCATGACCTCAACAGGGATCAAATCTAGGACTTCCTTTGGATTCCATTTCAGTGGCATCCTGGTAACAGAAAGGTTCCGGGGTTCGATCCTTGGTAGGGTCATGAGTACATGCTTCAAAGGTGAAGTGCTCAATGTTCATTGTTTCGGACATCACGTCCTCCTTATATTTTGGTGGTGTGATAGAGACAATGTGTGTCAACGGAATGTTATTCCCATATGTTCCGACAATTAAATACTGCATTAGCAACAGAATACTATGTATATTTGAACATTTTATTTTTTGTCGTTTGATGTAGACCAAAATCACATGCTCAATATAAACTGTAGATATATAAACAGCGGTTTGATTAATGAAAAATATACTCCGGCTTCCGCGTCTTGCCTTCTGTTGTTACAATATAACAGGTCACACACACACACACGAATCGAACTGAATTTTTCCACGGATGTACGAATATAGCAAAAATCAATAATAATAATAATAATAAGCTTTATTCCGAAACAGTATTTGCGAATGGAGAATGGAATTCTCAGCATTTTACTACAGTATTGCATCCAATAAGTACATTATCAATAAATAAAGTTCTACACAGATTATGGGTAGTCTCAGTTAATTTTAACAACAACATTTTAGTATGCCGGTAGCAAAGCCAAAATTGAATAGAGTGTTTGAAGGTGTTAGGAAAGTAGATGCTAGCATATTTACTGGCGTAAGCGGAAGAAAGAAACAGAGCTGCACATAACAGAAAAAAGAGAGAGAAAAGGAAAAGAAAGAAAACGTTGTACCTATAAATGATATGAGTTGAAAAGACGAGGTCTAATTGTTCTACTGACTGTTTAATAAGTTAAAGGTTTCACACCTGATGCTTTCTTTTTCGCACAGAGCACAAGCTAAGTAGGGTATGGTTGAGTTTTTGTACTTAATAGTGCGAGCATACAGTTTTCTATATAAGCTTCTGGTTTTGCCTGATGAGATACAAGGGGAGAGTTGTGAATGAAGAGGGTGTTGTGGGTCAGATAAAATGGATTTAGCCCATTTTTCACATGGGTCCAAGTGCCTGTCAACCAGAATATTAACAAGCTGGTTAAGTAGCACGTAGCTTACCCTGCTGACAACCTTTAACATCCTGCGTAATAAGGTATAGTCTTTCTTCAGCAGCCCAGGAAAAACTAAGGGGGAACAATAGAGAATAATAGGCAGAATACGGGAGTTAACAAATTGTAGGAGTAAGGGTTGGGTTATACCAGAATGTCTAAACTTCTTGATGTAGAAGGTAAGACGGAATATTTTCTTAGAAATTTCCGACTTGATTTCTATTTCAGTGCCATCTATGTTGCACACCTCGTGAGATGAGTGTTAACCAGTTTGTTTAGGTCAGATTTATGCCTAAAGGTGAAATTGACTGTTTGGCTTTTGAAGGGGTTTAAGGTGAGACCGTTTTTCTTGGATCATTGGCTGACTTCTGATAAAAAGCCGTTATAAAACCAGACAGTTACATACTATCTCTGGCAATGAACTGAATTGACAACAGATTCCTGGGGACTTGATTAGTTATATTTGCGAAATGAACTAGACAGTCGTTATTACATCTTTTCGGAAACTTTTCACTAGTGTCCACCTAAAAATGTACAAAATGAGTAAGCAAGTATACACTATTCTTTCAGTGTTCCTCAAAACCTCAGGAGCTAAACTCACTAAAAAGAGTCAGTATCTAGTCAGTACCAAATAATCGTTGAGTGACTGTTACACTGACATTTTTCTTAATAAAGATTTTTTTACGTGTACTACTGCTATCTACCAAAACTGTCGATTGTAGGTTGAATCTAAGCTGCAGTTATTTATGTTATAAGGTGTGAATGGGCCCTATGAAAACCCTAACGAAACATACATTACATTCGGTTGTTCATGCAACATATTCTCAAATTTTCGATTTTAAACTTCACAGTATGTATTAGGTACTGTTTTTTTTAAAGAATTCTTTCCAAAAGAAGTTTGTTGAACTACTGAATCTTTTTTCTATAATTTCTTCCATAGCTATTAACAGTTATTTAAGCACACTTCACGAAGATTCATTTGCCAATTCAGATGATCAGCCTAGCTCAGGATCTGCCACTTTAGAACAGTTAGCTGCTTTAGCCACCTCGTTAAATAATATTTCTAACCATATCCTCGAGAAAGGATCAAACATGATGAACGAAGTAAATTCATCTCCAAATAATGATGAAACAACGATAAAGTTTACAAATAACGCGTCAATACAATGTACCAAAAACAATGATCTACCTAAAACTAATAAATATGATATTGAACAATCGGCTACAAGTTCGTATACAGTTGATATCAATCCCATTAGACATCACCCTCATGAACAAATTGTTCTTCTTAGTAATGAAAGGCTAAATGATTTATTGAAAATAGTGAGGTAAGTGTAATAATACTTCCTTTCATTTTTCTTTCCACCGATTTACTCATAAATATTAATTTTAAAATACCAATATAGAAGAAATATAAGGAAGCAGACAACCTTATGTTTGAGCCCTTGTCAATCATACTTTCACAAGTTAATGATTATGAAATTCTGTCTCTAGTAGGATAAACCTTATCCTCAAAGACTTTGCTAAATAAGATAGTGTAGAATGTCTTTCGTTGTTAGTTTTTAGTCTCTTTAAATCTTCAGATTTACAGGCTGTGAAACAGACATTCTTCATTATTTTTATTTATTTGTTGAGATAGAATAACCATGTTTGGTTTACTTGGTTGATGGACGATGTCAGTTAGTTCACTATATTAATGTTGACAAACTCTGTTGTAACTGCTGCGTATGATTTCTAATGCTTTCAACTATACAAAGTATAAAATTAGTTTCGAAACAACAATGAGAATATGTGGCTTGTTGAATTAATATAGTAGTTATACATTAATTGGTTATTATAACGTGTTACCTGGAACGAACTATATACTTAAGTTATTCGGTTTTTTATCTACCGAAGGTTAACTGTAGCCTTTGCATTTATTGTCATTTGTCATTTCGTAGATTGTTCTTACAGTTCCATTGCCTAACAAGGATTGGTAAAAGTCGTCTATTATAAAACTACAATGAGAAAGTAACATAGACGGTAGTGACCTAATGACTGTCGAAAAAGTACCAAGATTATTGGCGAGGCCAATATGAGTTACAGACTAGTTTTAAACAAAAGCAATATGTACATAAAAATGCCTAAGTAACCTCTGAGTTAATAACTCAATGCTCCATTGACTGATCTACAAAAGCCCAGGTTCTATCTCTAGGTCCAGAATTAACTTCAGTTCCTAGCCAGCTGTCATACCTAAGTTTGAATTCGTAATCACTGCACCAGCTGCTCTGCTGCCTTTTTTCATGTCAATTCTAATCATACTGAATAAAAAAGGAGAAGTAGATGCACTTTCACTCGTAGTAAGGTATGTACACTACTCACGTAGGTTGACTGGTCAGTAATTATAAAATAAGCCTTGACTGCATGAATATCTATCAACCGACCTAAAGCCAGATTTCATAATTTCAGCAGTAAAATAACTTCCGTCTTGAAATAATGATTGTGATATACAATATAATATTCAGTTAGTGTCATTATATGCAGTTGGAATTACTAATTAACTGAACAAAAAAGATCTGGCTGTTAGAAGTTGTCGTTCGACGGCCTCAAACTTATTGTGAACCTGAGTTAGAGTTTCTATGGTTATTTTCTTATATGATAACATTATGGAGGCCTAAAGTTTTCGTTCTAGTCATGCAGTTGTCTGGAATAATATTTTACGTTGCGAGTACCATATATTTGGATAAATTACTTCACTATGATCAGTATTAATCATTTATTATTATAAAATGATATTGACATTTGAAAATGAAGAAAATGGTTACATTCCTTAAGGGGATACATACAGACATATGTACATTTAACCATGATTCAGTGAAAATTGAGTGATTCGATTAGCAAATTTATGTATGACTCAATACTTCCTCTCTAGTCAATTCCTTTACTACATGCACCTTTGTTATTTATACTAATTTTTTTCATTTTTCATACTGGAAATTAACTGGTTGTGAGCAATCTTCAAGTGTTCGTTTGAAGGGATTCAATTGGTTATAGGTTTGATCACAATCTGAAATCAGTCAGAAGATATCATCAGAAAATTTAGGAGTTCTGGATAGTTGTTTCATCCGAGCCTGGGACTCTCCAGGAGTAAACTCCCACCGTTTATAAAATTAGCCGTCCACTACTCCCTGGTTTTTCGATGGTTCTTTCACTGATGTCAGCACGTGATCAGCCCTGTTACCAATTAAACCATTGCAAAACCAATACTTAAACATGAATATTTTGATCACTAGTGTCTGGTTCTATACTGGGAGTTACCTAGAGTTCTGGTAGGAAGTCGTGGCCAGCAGGGTCTACCAAGTCAGGTGAGTGAACATTGGCTGATGGTCGCGCTACATATCGCTAATTGGAAGTTTGTTGAATTCATTTCATATAAAACAAAATGGACAGATCACTGATAACTGTAAAGGACGGCTGTTTACACTAATGATGTGAACATACAAAGAGTGGTTGTAGGTAAAGCTACCCATAACTGGGAGTGTTACACAGATAGTGTTTCTGTTCATGAAGCATTTCTATGCATATTTTCACTAAAGTACTATTAGAATTTCATCAACTGTTGTTCATCTCTTGTTGATAAGTTATAAAAACAAAAATTTTCAATACATTAAACTTTAAGTTCTCAGAGGATGTCTACGATATATCTATGATCTAGAGGATATTAGCTACACTTGTTATATTATTATTATTGCTCCTTTGGGTCCCTAGTGGAACATAGGGCTTCAACTGCACGTCTCCACTTGCTTCTGTTTTCTGCTGTACTTTTCACCTGCATCCATGTTAGTCCATACTGTTTCACCTCCTCTTCACACAACCTCCTCCATATCACCCTTGGACGTCCCACTCGCCAGATTGATATAATAGACAAATTATCATTTTTCTTCATTAATGAATTAATGAAATTAACTCTTTTCCACTTGATTATTTGCCTTTCTCAACAGTTGTGGTACAATGATGAATAATGATATTTCAATAAAAAATGGTTCTATCAATTCTTCTGCTTTCCAAGGATCACCTACAATAAGCAATCGCTTGTTAAAATCTTCAGGGTATTCAAAACTTTCAGATGCTCATTGTACTAATAGCCTGTCAAAATGCACTGCTACTCATTGCTGTTCATATTATCCAAGAGCTAATATCACAATGGAACATTCTAATAATGTGTATACTCCTCCATCTCTTCAGTTTACCTCTTGTTGTTCAACAAATGGTATTCCAAATCAAATTGTTCATTTTTCTGTAAATAGTAGTTCAACTGCCTCATCCAACAAAAAACCTGTAACTATGGATGATGGTAAGTTTAAGTATACAAATTTTATTTCATAACTTAATACACAATAAACTAGTTTGATTGGTCTAAGGATTTCATCGTGAGCTGACATCGGTTAGAGAGCCATCGAAAAACCAGCTGGGAGTACTGGACAGCTGTTTCGTCAGACTAGTTTGGGACTCTTCACAGTACGGATCCACCGAATAGGGTTCAAACCCAGGACCTTCTGGTTACAAGTCGAGCGAGCTCGTAGACCAATAAGCCACTGGGACCTGATCCGATGCCAAGGCCATGAATTCTAACTTCTGCCAATTCATGACATAGCGCGACCACTTCGTAATATCTTCTTCTATGAGTAACCGTCCTCACCTTCGACCTGCTGCACTCTACTCGTCCCGGCTTCTCAATAAAACCGAATGTCACTGCCCGAATAGGGCCAGTTGGTAGTGAGTATCAGGCCGATTTCCAAGTATTGGTTTTTGTATGGATTTTGCTCGTTTGATTGCTTGAAGGATTTCATCCAGCGGTCGCGTACTGATGAAGATTCCTAAACTAGGACGATACAGCTCTCCAGTACTCTCAGGATTTCCAGTGGTTCTCTAGCTGATTTCAGCTCATGATGAAACCCTCTAACCAATCAAACAAACAAAATCCCTACAAAAACCAATACTTAAAAATAAGCTAGTTTGTTCAACACAAAAGTTGATTAAGCAAACACAAAATGTAGTATTTCCTGTTAAAATAAACAGTCAGCGTTTTGTGTTGTTCTAACTTTCGGTGGATTGCTTGGAAGACAATGTCATACTTGAAAGAGTTCACAAATTCTTACAAAGTCTTCTGGCGTGAAGTCTTGAATGGGAAATTCCATCTTCTAAGGGATCGCTGTGAGAACTAATAAGTTATCTTAAATGATCTGCTACAATACAAAATTTAAACGTGTTGTCTCAGGAAGGTAGGTCAACGGCACATTAAATACACCGAAATACTTTGCACTAAATTATAAAAATGAATTTCATTGTTTTGTTTGCATGCCAGTCTTGTTTAGTTAAATAAATAGGATACATTACATTTGGAAGGGATTCCTGTCAGAAGCTAGAACTGGCATAAATTCTCAAAACTTTTTTCCCCGGTCTTTTCACACATGTTGTTTGTAATTTCTTTGTTTATCTTAATGTAGGACGTGTCACATTAGTAACTTACAGAAGTCGGTGCTTACTTTAGTCACAATTTTCACATATATCACCTTTGGAGACTCATCAGACAGTAACTATAGTTACCTAGCATTGACCTTGTGCTCTGATGGTATTTTAGGCTTAGTAATTGTTTATTAAGCTTTTGCCTTTGTGATGATGAAAATAGTGCGCATGTAAGTCTGACGTGTTTCCCCAACATATTTTCATTGTTCAGTAATTTTCTACAATTTTGTATGTCTACCATAAATATGAAAGGACGTGGGCGAATATATTTGTGTGAGCCATTTACGGATATCTCAATTGTTGCCTTTGTCCTTCTTATTTCTTCAGTGTCTTTATGCTTGATATAAACACTATAATATGACTCATCCATACATTATCTCTGTCTAGCTTTCTCTACTCTCTTCCCATCTGTATGTCTGATGTGCTTCACACATAGGCATAGAGCGTATTAGCCACAGTTTGTTGAGACCACTTGTGATTTTTATCATGTGATATTGTTAATTTAGTTAAACTATGATTGGTATAAAAAAGATACCAATAGGCCTACAATGTTTGAGTCATCCATTAACCTGAGTTTAAAGACATGTGAAAGGTAGCCGTTATTTATTTAACCGTAAACATTATAAATATATAAATTTTCTAACAAAGAATGGATATCGCCTTAATTTAATTTAATATAGTTTTACCTCCTATGCCTTAATGATGATAGTACTTAAGTGGGTTTTTTATCCAGTTTGTGTAATATTAACTATTTTCTGTCTGCCCGCTTACAATCCTGTCAATCATTTGAGGGATAAGCTCCTAACCCATTTCTCATCATGATAATGGCTAGACATCTAAGTAGACGTGTTACACTTCTGACTCATGATGTAGGCATTGACCCAAAGGTTTACGCCACATAGCGAAGCATTAAATATTAAAAAAAAATAAACATTTATTTCATGGTGTTTTTCTTAGTGTCCATTCAAGACACTGTATAGGATTAGACCAAGGATCGTTGACTAATTAGATCTATTCGTTACCTTTTTCAAATCATAGAAAATACCTATAAGTACAACAGAGAGAAAAGAACAAGATCAGCGAAGATATCTTTCCAGAGATTTCATCCTCAAAAGCTGCACAATCGCAGTTTTAATGCATAAGTTCACTTAGTTACAATTATTATTTAATTCAACATCGTAACGAAGGGAGGTTAAATGAGATAATTATTTTTCAATTCGATATGAAATTTTGAAGGTATGAACATAGATCACAAGGGGGTACAGAAATAAAATTACATAGGATTAAATAATAGTTACGTAACATGTAAAATAGTTTTTAACAATGAGAAATGTGAAAGGGATGAGCATAGAAACAAACTGAAATAATAGTTTCTGCAGCAGGAAATGAAAAAAATGAGGAGGATGAAAAGTGGAGAAGACAACTAAGGGATCAAACATAACTAGATCCATGGTGAATGTAGGAATCGGACTGGTTTCTTCTGGACCCAGCTCCCGCCTATGACGAGGCCTTCTGTGGTACAAAGAAGTCGGAAACAAACTGTTCACTTTGTAAATGACTCTGAATGATAGGTCATTTAAGACGCTGTGATAAGTACTGACTAGATGTTCAATTATAGCACTTCTGATTGAACCAGTGCCGCCTCTTAGAGGCTTTGCCGAGTAGTATTACCTAATACATTTTGAAAATGTCGTGCATAGAACTACCTATGTACCTAGCACCATAGCGTTAGGTGAACTGATATATGCACATGGGAGTGGTGATATGCGGAAGTTTATCCTTGTTTAGTAGCAGTGGTTGGTTAAAGAATATAACTCGTAGCGTTGATTCAAACAAGGTCTTCTTTAGGGAACTAGAGATTCTCGTCTACACGATATCGACCATTTGTTACCATTTACTCATTTGGTTCAAAATCCAAAATGATAAAAGTTAATAACTGTTGACGTTACAGATTTGTTGATTGGTTTGGGATGAGATACTCAATATAAAAGTCATACCTAGTTATTTCTGATTTATTTATTCATGTCTATCATTTTCCGTGCGTCGGTGGCACAGCGGTTAGGACTCTCGCCGACCATGCACATGGTCCGGGGTTCGACTCCCTGCCGACGCACACCTGATATCTATGGTCGGCCTGCAGAATTCCGGCTACCGATATCATATGCTGAGAATTCCATACTTGTACCAAAAATACTGTGTGGTTTCAAGCTATAATCAAAAAAATAATAATAATAAAAGACACCAATAAATAGTTTCAAATAATACCCGTTGCACAAGAGATGGCTCTCGTACTGGGTTTGAGTTTCAGTGTGAACACCATCATTTACCGCAGGATGGGGGGGGGTGGCAGCTACGTTCATCTGAAGTGACCTAAACAAGATGAAACACGCCTTCTGGATTCTACTGGTAGTCACCGTTGTTTAACAAATATTCTGATTTGATTAGAGGAAAAATCAAAATTACCTTCTCTATCTTTTCTTTTTCAAACAGATGAATATGGTTCATTCCGAGATGTTAATAATAATAATATTATTATTAATAATGCTAATGGTAATAAGTTATCATCTTCAAACTTAATAGTCCATTGGAAAAAGGAGAAAATACGTGAATCTGTTGAAGAATGCAGTGTGCCTTCGACAAACAGTAGATTTTATGATGAAAATGTTACTATTCCACAAAATGTTTATGTAGACAAACAATCTTCGAATACTGTACAATTGAGTACACCATGGAGTATTGATCAGTTTTCAACAAGCAATAATTCAATTTCTAAGTGTTCACCAGAAAATACTCATGACAGTAAGTGAGATTGAAACAATTTAATTAGTGAATTCATACACTTTTTAAATTTAGTTTTCTTTTAAAAAGAAATAGATTCTGAAGATCGTTATTATATTTCAGTGTACCGAGATAACACAGAATTAACTTTATTAGAAAGAAATTCATTCTATGAAAATGCTTTAAATATGCGTAAAACATAGACACTATGATATTATGTAATTCTATATTAATTCGTTTATTTGAATACATTGTACAGTGAAACAGTATTGTTTACTGGATAGACAAATTTCTCTTAAATCAATTTATTGAACTTTTCTTCAATTTCTTGAATACTGTTAAAATTCGGCCATTCTAAGAAAGCTGTGTTATTAACTACTGTCTCCTTTGGTTTATGTTTCAACTAATGAATTTCATTTCGGATATTACGCACATTTTTTGCCACTATATTACCCTTCTAATTCTACCCGTTTTGATTGTAGCTGCCAGACGTAGATATTTTTAGGAATGATTTCATTTCTCAGGCATTTAATACTGAAAACTTAGTGATTTGTAAATCTTCCCACTTGAGAATATTGATACCAGTAATGCATACTGTATAAGTGACAAGATTTTGTAAGTAAGAAGCTTTTGTAGTGAGGGTAAAAGTACATATATTCTGTTTTAAACGCTTATAATAATTAAATACACAATGAAGGAATGGATTGAAATACTTATAGTTTTTTTTCTCTAAATGAGCATTTTCCATTTATTCTGCTTATTGGTTACAGCATTTCATCATGAGCTGACATTAGTTAGAGAACCGTTGGAAAACCAGCTGGGAGTACTGGACAGCTGATTCGTCCTAGTCTGGGACCCTTCAGCAGTACGCAATCAACGAGGTTCCAACCCGGGACCTTCTGGTTACAAGGCGAGCTCGTATACCATTAAGCCACTGGGACCCGATCCAATGGCCAGCCTATGAATTCTGACCTCTGCCAATTCACGATATAGCGCAACCGCTAGCCAATGTCTTTGGCGAGTATTTGTCCTCACACCCGACTTGCTGCACCCTAATGGTCACGACTTCTCACTGGAACCCCAGGTAACTACCTACCTGAATGAGACCAGTCGCTAGTGAGCATCTCACTGATATTCAAGTATTTGTTTGTCAGCTCATGATGAAATCCTGTAACCAATCAACCAAATCCCTAAAACCAATACTTAAATATTCTGCTTATTGGTGGTGTTTCAGTTTAAGCAAATAAATTTATATAGCACACTAAAAAAACATTACACCCTATGCAATACAAATGTGAAATAAACTACATAAAATGGACATGACACTTACTCATGGTCAATGCATTTTCTTGTTGTTGAAAAACCTCTATGAACAGATTTGATTACCTTCTAAAAGGGACAATTACATCATTGATATGAGTAGTTGGGAACGATTCACCATGATTGTTAGTCAGGCTGAAGCGATCTATACACCTCGAAGGCATTTTACTCGTTCAAGGTTTAGCCCATCAATGGTGTATCCGCAGGCTAGTAAACACCATTGGTTGACATGAGTAATTGAGAGCTATCATGAAGACTGACTTAACAGAATTGGTGACATGTGACGAGGTTGTGAAGTTACATAGAGTGAGATGGTTAGGACATGTGTTACGTATGCCTAGTCATCGCCTGCCTTGACCGACGGGCAATGTTAGCTGACATAGTTTCAGGCTGGAAAAGAGCTAGCTAGTGGTGGTCAAACCAAAACATGCCACCAGTCAATGAAATCTACAACAGTTAGTCTAAGCCAGCCACGTAGGAAGGTGTAGACTTCCTGACTGGTTCGGGTCCTCGGGACGGTAGAAACCAGTGGTTAGAAACAATTGTTGATATGGCTCAAAATAGTTGTCAATGGTTGGCGCAGATGCCTCCACTCCTTCTGACTTATGATTTCCAATGAAACTATATTGTTTTTCGTTCGTTATTACTATTCCTTTGTTTCACACCTCTGTTTACTGTCTCTATTATGTATTTCTTCTACTTTCTTCTTTTGGTTTGTGTGCTACATGGAGTGTGGCGACTTGAATAGCCGCACATATGTGCAAAGTTCTATGTCGAAAACTGACAAACAGAAAGACTTAACAGAATCGTATAAATTCCAAGGGGAAGGCGGGAGTAGTATGTATAGAGCTAGTAAAAAATCAATTGTTAGCTATCCAGAAGAATTTTCCATTTTCGTCCAACTTGATTGTGGCACAGTAATCAGTACTCAGAAGAATTAATTCCTATAAGTTATAGTGTTCCGCTACTATTTTTCGTTAAGTCCTTTTTTACTTTCTGAAAAAGAAAGTCTGAAAAGAGCAAAAAGATGATCTCATTTGTCCTTAGATTACTGATCAGTTCGTCACATTTCTGTTTCCTGCTAAAACTCCTGTTCTTCAATCAGTTTATTCAGTTCCCTTCACTACTACTTTATATATTAATTCAAATAAGTGTTATATCAATCAACACTTACTATCGAAAGAAAATAACAGTTTAATGGTATAATCTTCTCTGTTCTTTGCAATCACTTTCAACTGACTCCACAATGACCCATAAACATTTTGACAACACAATAAGATGTAGTTTGTCTGAAACGTGTTATATATTTACGCAACGTATTTCGGACATTCTGATCACACACGTACTTGTCATACACAGTTTTATAGAAGGCATGAATTGTTACAATATAGGTCAGACTGTGTACAGGTCAAGGTCACAAATAATGGGTAGGGATATGACGCCAAGGTGTGGGTAAGAAAGAAAAAAACAAAACAAAGAAGAAGTTGAAAATATTATGAAGTAAATTGATCTTTGGTTCTAAACTGGATTACCAAGGCAGGTTTAAAGTAATAACAAATAACTTTTGGACACATAAGACAGATTTAAGTCTTTTTATGGCCAAGGCTTCAACAAATTTAGTATTTGACCCAGCCTTGTTTTATATATGGGCTTAAAGGCATTGCTGAAATTGACCTTATGACCTATCTGTATAATGTGCTACGCTATAAATTATGTTGGACATCTGTTTCCGGGATCAGTTGTATCCGGAGATTTTATTTGTTGTCGCAGCCACTGTGGAATATGTTCTGTAGCCCTAATCTGCAGAGACTGATGGGTCCTCCCTATGTACGTATGTCCATACATGTAAATTGATAGACACAATGGGATGTGACACTATAGTTCAGATACTGTGAAGGTTTACAGGACCACATAAATCTCGTTTCCTCTATGAAGATGAGTTTAGCTGCATAGTAAGTCCTATTAAGTTCTACTGACCAGACTTTGTTGATCAACCCATGAAAAGCAAGGATGTATAAACATCCTTTTGGGGAGGTGATTTGATTGGTAGAGCTCTTTGGTTGACACTTCCGTAACATCTAATACACCTTGGTGGGTAATTGCTTTCTGGCAATAGTTCATTAAAGTGTTGTCTTTCTTCTTCAATTGTATTGGCAGTGCATATACGGTAAATGCGTTTGAACAAACATTTATCAACTGTTGTGGACAGAAACTATGATAATTTAGATACTGTCCCGTCGATGTGGATTTTCTGTAGACAGATAGTTTTAATAACTCATATTCTCGGCGGATGATGAGTACATCTAAAAATGGCAGACAATCATTATTCTCTTTAACATATGTTAGCGATATGCTGTTTTGTACTGTATTGATCTGGTTTAGGATTTCTATGGCGTCTGTCAGTTTATTACAAATGACTATTATGTCATCCACATGTCTCTTATAATAATAAACTTTTCCAATTATTTCCTCCTCTAGGTTATAAACACGATATATATATATATATATATATATCGGCTATCATTGTACCTAGGGAGCTGACCATAGCAACACCGAATGTAAACTTAACATTGTTAGTACATAGAAGCAGTAACTCTTTAAAATAAGATATGGACACTGGTAATAGGAGACTGTTGTCAGAGATGTAATCACAAAAAATATCAACCCTCTGTAAAAGAGGTACATTTGTAAATAAAGAGTCAACATCTAGGGAAAACATGGTTTTGTCCTTGATATCAACGTTATCAAGACAATCAATTAACTCAAAAGTATCTTTCAAAGCTAACTCGCACAAACTTCTTCTAATAGGCTCTAATATTTCCACTAGCCACTGTGCAAGTTTGTAGATCGGAGATCTGCACATTGACCTTATAGTACGGAGAGGAATGTTAAGTTTATTTGTTTTAGGCAGACCATGCATGTATGGTAACTGGGACTCCGTGGACTTTAGTAGATTGAATTTCTCTTCGTTCATTTCCTCCTTACACGATCATCTTTATCTAGATCTTGGAAATCCAACCTGTCAATTCCCATTTGAACTCCTATTGAGTACTTTTTTTTTTTTTTTTACAGTTTGTTTCCACACTGTTTTTTTGGTACAAGTATGGATTTTTCAGCATGGATATGGTAGCCCAAATTTTGCAGGCCGACCGTAGATATCAGTGTGCGCCGGCATGGGCTCGAACCCCGGACCATGTGCATGGTCGGCGAGAGTCCTAACCACTGTGCCACAGACGCACCGACGTACTTGTTATGCGATGTCACTTGAAGATTTATTCAGCGTATAGCTAACCCATTTCCATGTCATAAAAAGAAAATGAACTCAAGAAAAGACTGTTTATGTGGATCTCATTTATTACACAGTCGTTGTACAATCACAGCTTATGTACTAGTGTCTTTGTTCAAAGTTTTTATTGGGCTTTGTCTTTTCTAAAAATATTTACAATACTTTTTCGTTTAATAATCATTATCAAAAAAAGCAGTTTACTATTATAACGCCGGACCACTTGTTTTATTTTTCTTAACTTATACATCTCACCTTCGAGAAGTGGCATTGCCTAATTCTGTTAGTAGTGAATGTAGAAAAAGTCTCCTAACCACTTTTGAGACTTCGCAATATTTGGCGGTTATAAGTTTCAATTGATGCGATTAATCTTTTCTGAATGCATATTAATCTTAACAGTTTCAAACGGTAAAGTGTA